CTAGAGCTAGCTATGAGCTTCCTTGAAATACAAGGACATGGTAGAAGTCCTGTTTCCACATCTTTTTCATTTATAGTAGTTTTGTACTACCTCTAATAGGTCATTGCTCAGCAGAAAACTGTATGCTTTGCATGTAGAAAGGACCTGCTCAACCCACAGATCTCTAACTAAAAAGAGCTTATCAGACATCTGGAAAAGATCCTCCCCCTTTTGAATTCTTCAAGAGCTGCTATCAGATACAGCAGAATAGGCAATATATTGATAGTTACAAGTGTAAAACTCATGTAGATGTTCTAGAGCCTTCCTCTTCATGTACACAATTGTGGCAGCATTCACAATGTGCATTTTCTTTAGAAAAAGTGAAGGGTGAGGGTGGCCAATTGAAAATCACATAGAGGCCAGGGGGGAACTGACTACAAATCTCATTGTGTTTATATGTTTGTCTGTTTGTGCCCTCAAGTTAGCCCAAACAGTGCGTACTACTGCAACAAGGTAGTAGTATTCTGAATCAAGGTACCTAAAATCTGCTAACTTGAAGAATGCGTAAAAAATCTGGGACCCATTAGTCCTGTGGAGTTGAAATTATTGTGATATTCACACCAGTTTTATTTGCAAAGTTGTGGCTGTTGCAGTGTCCCTGCTTCACGTGATTGTGATTTCCAATGCTTCTTGCCAGCTTCTCACAAGCAAAGTCAATGGGGAAGCTGGCAGGAAGTCAGAAGTCGCTCCCACTCCCACTGCTTTTTTGCCCACCATTTTTGCCATTCTGTTTATCTGTTTAGGTAAGTAAATATTGACTTATTATTGAAGTTTGTTCGCCACTACAATTATTTTTTTATTTATGATATATACTCTTAGATGATCATGGGACCATCCAGCATTGGATAAAAAAAATATGGTCAGCCTAAAATTTAATGTTCATTCTGGGCATATCAGACTGCAGTACCTTTCTCTCAAAGGATGACCCAACGGGTCACAGAGTTGTCTAGTCCCTGTTAAGAATATCCTTGGTGACAAGTTAAGGACACATATGATGCAATATGTACAAAAGCATTTGCTCCAGTCTTTCACCTATCCAAACATTAAGTGAAATCCTTGCAAATCATCTGACTTTTAAAACAAGAGAAATCTCCCCCCATATAGTATGTTTTACATCAGCTGTGTCTCTTCCATGATCTAAAAATCCTCTGAAATCGTGCCAGTACTGATTTATCAGTCCAACCTTGGGAAATGAGGTTAGCAGATAATTTGGATTGCTTGTTTAATAAAATGAGTCCACACTGTAACTAAGAGATGTACAAGTTCTGTGATAGGCACCTTGAACTCTTATAAGCAGGCTTTGTTGTGCAAGTTTGTTCAGATCCTTTGAAACCACTGCAGCATGGAAAGATTATGAAATACTACCAGATGAGGAGGCTCAAAGTAGAAATGGAGCATTTCAGCAAGCCCTATTTACCAAGAACATATGTTGCATTGCAGTTGATGCAAAAGGTTACCTTGTCTCTATTTCTGGCAGCCTGACATTGCAAATAACTGGTATAGTTTGCTGCGTGTGACTTCAAGGCTATAGAGTCAAGTGATAGGGAGGAATTGATAAGATGTAGGAAAACAAAAATGATATTTAGCAATCAGGGTATCATTTGAAGTTCATTAAGCACCTATTTAATTTCTCAAACCAAGAGATGAAATCATATTCTTTTCCAAATTCATTATAGCATGACAGTGTCACTTGTGTTTGACGGGAAATTGCTGATTAATATTGCTTTTGTAAGAAGTGGATACAAAAAGGAAAATAAGTATTTCAATCAAAGTAAGACGATATGCACTCATTTTACCACTCCTAATACTGCTTAACGTCCCAGAGATACATTATATTAAATGAATGGTTTGACTTTGTTTGGGTAGATATGCATTGAGTAGATATGCGTTTTTCCCAAAACAGGTGCTCTCTAGATGCTGGTTAGAAATTCTGAGAATTTCAGCCCCAACATATGTGGAAGGAACTAGACTGGGGAAACTGAAGGGATCAGGAGCAAACCCTTTTTCTTCCACATGATGGTCTTGGTGGAAAGTTGATCTCCCACTAAATCCAGTGAAATGGCAGTAGCAACAAGGGATTTTTGTTAGGAATGTAGCATACTGGTATAAATGTCAACAGTCTTCTCACAGGAGTTCCAGTACCGATTCAGCTCTTATGTGACAGCTCCTTCCTATAAAACCATAATAAATGAACATACAGGAGGAAATTGACTTTGGAATTATGATCTTGTTGTATAACATGTATTATACTGAATCTTGAGGATCATCCCAAAGGTTTATTTAATCCAGCATTCTGCTTCCACGGACTGTCCATGAGGCAACAGCCTCCCCAGCAGTTGTTATTCAGTAGCGCACTGCCAGCAAATATTATGGTTCTGTAAAGTCAGTGTCAATTTCTTCAATCTCCTTTAAAGAAGCTAATTGCCACATCTTATGGCAGTAAGCCAAATTATACAAGAAATATGCATTTATTTATCCTGAAATAGTAAAGGATGTTACTTGCAGGTATTATCCTTTGCAGGTAATATCCTTTACTTGAAATAGTAACAGATATTATTTGCAGGTCTAGGCAAAATTAACTTTAACAAATGCTTATTTTGTGTTACAAAACTCAACTCAAAGCACACAATCACCTTCTACGTAAGCACAAGAAATGTGCTGAGATAATCTGTTAGTAACAAAAGTAATTCAGTGCCTTCTTGGCAGGAAGAGAAGCAGACACAAATTTTGGTTTTTCGACCCTCAGATCAAAGTTTTCAATTGAAAAGCAGTTTTATAACTAATCTAATCTGGAAAGATAGAAATAACCTTTATTGTTAATAATTAAGGCTAAGTTGGCTAGAATTCAACAAATCAATCTTTCTCCTCACAAATGCACTGCATTTCCTTGCCTCTATTCACAGAATTTTACAGGAGGTCAGATGTCATTCTAGTCCATCTGTAACTCTTCTGTGATCCTCTTGTCCCTTCCCTCTTTTCCTTTGTAGTACAAAACAGTTAAAGAAACTAAGACAGAAAAGCTGCATAGGAATGTTCAGCGAGCAGCATTAGGGACCCAGCACCTAGAAACTGCTTAAATGGCTCAAATTATAGCTCACATTTTAACCTAGCATGCCCCAGCCTGTAGGATTAGTTTACACTTTAATGTGCTGCTGTGCTACTCTAGAAAACTGGATTGGTAAAGAGGAGTTCAGTTAACCGTGAGTATGCAGTAATCAATCCATCTGTCTGGGTTCACACAATGTACTGAACTGCAAGCTGGTTAACTACAGTTTATTTTTGTACATTATGCAACACTAGGCACTGTAGGTACTTAAGAGTTTTCAGAGGAGAGTTTCCAGAGAAAGACATTAAAAACTATCAGGAACCAACAAGAAGTACTATTACAGAGAAATGCTGATAAAGAAGTCAATGAAACACCTAGCTTAAAGGCTAGAGCAAGAATGATGTGGCAAGGCAAGCCGAGAGGGCAGGAGTTCAGTGTAACTGTGCCATAAAGTCTACCTTGAAGGAGTAAATGAACAACCTGACCCAGGAGCCTATCATTCTTGCACTGCAATTAGGAAGGGAAGTATGCTATTGTTGGCAGAATGTACCAGCCCGGTCTTAGTATACTCTGCATGCTTGTGGCTGCAAAACCTGTTTTGGTGCATTAGGCACCTAGAGAGTTACCTTAGGCCTGGAAGAGAAAATACACTCAATTTGTGATTGCTAGAGACCCTTCTAGCCCTCAGTGCATGACAGGAGGTGTTTAGCACAAGCTTTTTGTCAGTCTTAGTTGGTCCTTATTTCACAATCTCAGTAAGAATACTGGCCATTTAACATTTAAAGGCACCAGAAAACCTTTCTGAATGCCATGGGAAAGGTAAATACACCCCTGAACTGAGCTTAATTCCTTGTGACCATATAAACACACCCAAGATGTTTGCTTGGCAACAGTATAGAAGCGGTCCCCTGAACTGAGCTTAATTCCTTGTGACCATATAAACACACCCAAGATGTTTGCTTGGCAACAGTATAGAAGCGGTGTGCTGTTGTCTTTTTCCACAATTTGTTTTGATTTTCTACTGTCTTGCGATGCTCTGGTGTCTCCCATCCAATATTGATCAGGCCTGACCCTGCCACCTGCAGTTCTGTATTGTAAATGCCATGGTAA